AGAAAAGAGCGTACACCTTTTTAAAAGGCCGGCAACGCATCTGCTATTCCCTCCCTGGTGTTGCAGTTGTTCATGGGCGGCGGTAGTCACTTGCCATCAGGTAAGTCGCATGCTCGTTTGCCCCCTCTCCTATAAAAAAAAAAATAAAAAAAAAGAACTTACTAACTTAGCTTAACAAAAGCCTATTAACTCTTGCCTTGAAAACACTCACATTATAATTGAATGGAAAGACATATACTGACAAATTATTCCTCGTCTTTGCTGTACGCATTATGAACAACGAACTAAACCGTTTGGTTCGAAAGCGTAGTATACAGACAACAAAGCTGTGGAGAGCAGCCGTGGGTCTGGTGGTGCGATAATGGAATAGAGAGAGAGGAATTAAGTGATGAAATTCCTACACATACTTTCCAAAATGTATCATATAAAACGCCAAAAGACTGGCTTTTGGCCTGCGCTTGAAACTGGTATGATTTGTTCTAATCAAATTGGTGTCACCTCTTCGTACGCTCATTCATTGTGTTGAAAGCCGCTAGGTGGAATTTTGTAGCTCCAGCTCATAAAATAATGGTAGCAATATTCTATGCATGACCGAACTTGAATGTTATTTTATATATTAATTAATTATTTAAATGTTCCAAAAGTTTTTCACGTATCGTCAATTTTAATTTGCAAAGTTATCTGTTTCATTCCAATGAATAAAAGTTTCATTCAGACAAACTCATACCAGTCGTGAAAAGAATGGGACTTGAACGAATGTTTCAAATTATTAATATATTACGAAGCTGTTCCTTATTGTCAACATTAGAAACAAAAGCGTACGTACATATATTTCCTTGAGAAGTTATTAAGGCAGGCTTTGTTTTCAGGAGCATTGGCCCCTTCTCATTGGAGGCTGTGAGACTTTGCAACGTCGCGTATCATTGCCGCTATTTGCTTCTTTATATCTCATGTTTTTTCTTGCATAAATGCTGAGTTATAATTCTTTTTTATTTTTATTATTGTATTACTGAACATTGGCTAAAAGAGTATAATTTCATGTTTAATTTCACAAATCACCAGGTGATCAGTTCCATCAATAGAGAAAAAAGTTTACGTGTTGGCTCCTTAATATTAGCAGATAAGTCATTGTTATATAAAGAAGGTAAGGTTATTGTGAGCCTCTCTGTTGAGCGAACTGTAGAAATGGCTTGTGTCGAGCTCGAGCACCTCATTGTTGTAAGTGTTTACAGACCCCCATGTGCTACTTATGACTATTTTGAAAGGATTGTGGAAGAAGTTTTACTCAAACTTAGTAAACAGAACAAGTCTGTTGTAATATGTGGAGACTTTAACATCAATCTCCTTCAAACTTCTTCCATTAGTATTAAGTTTAGCTCATTGTTTGAATGGTATAATCTTGTTAATTTATTCTTAGAACCAACACGTATTGCTGGGCTTATTGCGACCTGTATAGATAACATTTTTACAGATGTTAAGCCCTTACATAAATCAATTATTCAAAATTTAAGTTCAGATCACTGTGGACAGTTGGTATCACTACCTTACATACACAAAAAACAGAAAAATAAGAAAGTTGTGTTTGTTCCAATAAATGAACATCGCTTGGAGAGGTTTAGAAGCAATATAATAAAAAGACTTCCATCACTTTCGTTTAAAAATGTGCTAATTATTTGTATGCTACATTATTATAATTATAAGTTGTGAATTTAGTAGAATATTTACTTCTAAAACTTTCTCTCTTAACAGTCGCAAATCATTTAATGAATGGGCGACAGTAGGAATATATAAAAGTAGGCGAAGGTTATACGAGATTTATGATGAAAGGTCATATAATAGAAGTGTTAAATTTAGAGATTATGTAAAAACATATTCTAAAATATTTAAAAAAGTGTGCTTCACTGCCAAGACTACATTTAAGCAACAAAATTAAAACTGCATCGAGAACGAGCAAGGTCAAACCGCGCAACTCGGATTTTCAATTGAATATTAACAATAATTTTAACGCGATCTGATCAAGAAGTTGCTATTGATTTTGGGAAAAATTTTACTGATGTTCCTTTTTCTACAACAAAATCATTAAATTCTTCTCCTATTGTCGCCGAATCATTGCTCAAACAAAATGTAAAGGCTTGTTCAAATACTTTTTTAATTACATAGAGTACTGCCGAAAGATATCGTTAAATATTTTTATTTATATTAAAGACTCTTTAGTGTCGAGACAGCTAGATTAGTTTATTTCAGTTATTTTCATAGCATAATTTCTTATGGGATTTTGCTATGGGGAAATGCGGCTGATTCAGAAACTTTTTGTTTTACAGAAGAGGGCCATTAGAGCTATTTACTTTTAAAAACCGAGAGAGTCTCTTAGAGATAAATTTAAAGAAATAAATATATTAACTCTGGCTTCTCAGTATATCTACGATAGTTTTAGTAAAAAATGTGATATACATTCTGTAAACACTAGGAACAAACACAAGCTATTGATGCCAGTTTATCGACTCCACAGAGTCGGTAATTCATTCTTGGGGCAATGTATATGCTATTACAATAAGGTCCCGGAAAGTGTACAGGTTCTCTCTATTACCAAGTTTAAATGTTTTATTAAGCTGAAACTGTATAAAAAGTGTTATTACAGTATAAATGAATACATGGTTGATAATAACCCCTGGGAATGAGGTGGTCGCTTTCAAGCGGTTTCTAAAATAAATTTTGTAAATAGTTCGTAATTATTTATATTGTAAAATTTATTTAAAAAAAAGTCCCACTGGGTTTCTTGCTGGTTCTTCCCAGGACAAAGGGGTTGTTTTTCGAACAACTGGTAAAGTAAAAAATGACTTTCAATAAGAAATACACATGTAATGTATATTGAATAAAAATTATTCTATTCTATTCTATTCTCACGAAATAAAATAAATATATGTTAAAAAGAACGTAAAATTAAGTATATTATTATTTATTCGTGTTTAGGCCCAAACATGGGCATTTGAAACGTCATCCAATCGCGTTTGACTCAGTGCATCACCCGATGGTGTCGAGGTGAGGTAAACGCCGCCGTGGGGGGGGGGGAGGCATGTGCCGGTGATCAGTAGCTTGACAGCAGCGGCGCTGTCGATTAGCGTATTTGGTAACCGCAGCATCGGTGTCGCGCGATCAGTTTTTTGGTTTTGTGGTCTAGAATTTGAGTACTTGTGCGCGTTTGACTTACTATTGAATTTGGCTTTCATGTAAACCGCCTCAAATTAGTTTGTCTAAGTTGTACGTTTTGTGACAAGAGGCTTGTATTCAATTTGACTGATTAAAGTAATTTCCTTTGCAAGTAATTACGTCAATTGTATAGTGATTGCATGTGAAGTGCATTTTGCAATATTTATCTTGCTTGTGTAACGTGGAACCGTGTGCGCATGCCGAGTGGATGGTACGGACGGACGGTACGGTCTGGAATTTGATGCTCGCATTTCATTTCGAGGGCGTGGCCTGGTTAATTGTTTTTGGAAGTTAATGTTTAATTGCACCGTCGCGTTAAGTGCCTTTTGTGTGTTGACTATGTGGTTGGTTTGCGTGTCAGCTACGCTGATTTTGAGTTCTTATTGCGGGCGTAGTATTTAATATCGTACGAAGGAATTTAGTTTGTTGTTTGGGAACGCTGAGCTTTGAGACTCGAGAAGTGGCCGCGTTCGATCTCGTGTTTGTAAATTTGTGCTACGTGAACCCGGAACCTTGAATATTGAACTTTGAACGACTGTTCGTTACTTGTGTCGGGTGTCTCGTGTTTGATTTCGATGAACGTTGAATTGGTTGGCTTTGAAGTTAATTAAATGTACAATGGAGTTGATAGACTGAAATAGTGAAATAAAGAAAGAAGTTGTCAATTGGTGACGTCCACTGGAGAGATACCGCTTTGTGGGCAGCATCGGACCAGGCCGCTGCCCGATCACCTCAGTTAGGTCAGATAACATATATAAACACTACTACACACTACTTTCATGCACGTACTTACCGCCTGACCGAGCCTTGGGATCAGTCTTAGCTTCGGAACCAGGTACGTTCTTATTAATTACCTAGCCTTATATCTATTGTGTAGAATAATAAGTCTCCATAGGCCGTTGGTCTGTCGATTGGATTACTGATGGGCCCTAGTTCAGTCAACCTTTGTTGGGGCAGCTAGGGGCGTGTACAATTCGTTTAGCCAAGATGTAAAATTTACTGAAATATTTTGCCTTATATCAGTAGCATAATAGTGTAATAAATCACAGATAAAGGAGACTTGTAAAATCCTCACATTTAAAGAGTTGAATTTGTGGAATAATAGATTAAAATTCAACATTTAATCACGCTCTGTCTGATAAGCGAGATTTACGTCTCCATTGAGGACATTTCATTTTCCATAACATTTCTTTCATCTCCTTGCAATTTAGTTTTATTATAACCGTAAATAGGAATGCCTCTTCAACAAAAACAATTGTTTACTTTACTAGTTTGAACAAATATTTATAATGTTTTAACAACAACCAAAATATTATAATTTCAAGTATGTTTTAGACTATAAAATTATTGTTTTTCAGTTTTTTAGTATCAAGCTCTTATGAAAAGTAAAAAGTCAGCTTTTATTTTTACATAATTTTTGCACGATATTTTTGTTGTAATTAAATTAAAACAAATTAAATAAATTGTATTATATAATAAAAATTAGAAATTAAAATTAATATTTAACGATTGATGAAAATGTAATTCATGTATTTCAATTAAAATTTTTCTTTTTAATTATTATTAACTTGTCATTATAAAAAGAATTTGCATAAATGCATACATTTAATAATTTCTCATTAACTAATTGATTTTACTAAGCCTCAAAGTAGCACGCAATATTTTGCAAGAAAACCTAAAGCTTAAAATGAGTATAGAAATTAATTAAAAGTTACTTGCGACACAATACTGTTACTAAGTTTAACCATATAGGTCCAGGAAGGAGAGTCATGCACTAAACATTATTTACACCGCTGTCTCCCGGGACAGCGTGTTTCGCGCACCACAGTGAGTACATCAAGGCAGCAACGAAACACATAGCACCAAGTAAGAAAGCAAGGCGGTGTAATTGTTAAGAGGCCGGTCCTTAAGAAACGCGCAAATAGGCAGTTACGGTTTTAAAAATATTAATGAACTGACTTCATTTAATGACACTACAAAAAAATCTCAGTTAGATAATAGATGGGTCTACATTTTCACCGTGTGATATTTATAAAAAACATCTTTATTTTTGAGAAAAAAAGTTTTCAAAAATGGTAAAAACACTTAAAACGGCCTTTTCTATTTTAAATCTCTAGGCCATTTCGTTCTTATTTTAGAAAATCTTTTTAGTTAAAACGTGAGATACAAGTATAGACAACACATTCAAAATTTATTATTTTTACTAATTAAAACCAAAAAGCAACAATCTAAGCCTAAATATCATTCATTTTTTAATAGAAATCGTCCATACATTTTAGTATGAAACGGTTCGGTTTCCGTAATTCGCTTTATATTAGAGAACACGCGTGAAAAAAAATTCAATGCCGCCTCAATTTTCGAGGTGAGTGCACGTCCGTTTGTAGTCCGATTTGACAAGTCGAGTCGAAACATCTATTGTTTGACATAGTATAAGGGTGGGTCGCGAGTGTCGGACAACATTATTTTTATTATTTGTATTCTTCGAGTAAGTAGACTAACTAGGTATATGAGTTTTATTATGTATTGTTTTTTTTGTAATTATCAGAAATTAATGTACTTAATAAAAGATTTATTTACTTTAATATCTATTTCAGGTAGATAATATGGGAAAACGCAAATAAAGTTATTAGAATAAAAAAATCTAATAAATAATGTAAGCATATGAAGTGAACCACTCGGAAACTCGCTAAGCAAGCAGTCTTTTTTAGGACTTGATTCAACAACCGGTGCAGTGGGTATCCATGACTTGGACCTTGAGTGAATTGTTGATCAGTGGGTTACCCTCTGTGGAGTCCACCCATTGTGATATCATTTCAGACTTTCTGGAATAGTCCTGTCTTGATTGACTCGTCCGATTCTGTGTTGAGGTTACCATCGGATTACGATGACGATTAGGTTATTTTGGTAATATCTTATGCCAAGATTATTCTTGCAGTAGTTAAATTTAGATTGATAACTAATATTTATAATATAGAAGTTATCTATTTTATATTTTATAGGATAAGGGTGACAAAAGAGCACACAGTCCACCTGATGGTAAGTGGTTGCTGTGGCCTATAGACATCTGCATCATGTTAGTGGTTGCTATCCATCTTCCATTACGAATCAAAATGCAGATGCGTTGTCACCCGTGAGGACTAAGATTGAATGCCTCGTTTCCAGTAAAAAGGGGTCTCCGGTTCTCTACTCTCACCATACAAAACACAGCAGCGTTAAGCTGCTATTTTGCACTTGTATTCTCTGGGAGCGTGGTCCCTCTACGGTCGAGCCGACCCATTCGTGCTACAACTATACCAGTAATATACCTGCAGCATGGCTCTACCATGCACAAAAATGAATGAAAAATGTATGTGGATGGATTACATCTTACTAATACAAAGAACCTTAATTAACATAGGTATTTTTATCGGTCGTTGATAAGCCTATATTTTTAAATCTTTTAATAACAATTGAATTGTTACAAAATTTTATGTTTATTAAACTTTTTAAGTTTTCATATATCTAACTAATGAAAAAATTCAGGTTCAAAATAAGTCAGTTGTTTTAGTAGTTAAAATAATACCTTGAAAGCGTACACTCTGGCCCCACCCTTTGCCGTCAGCTATTAATTACGGACTCGCGGACTTCGCAATGTGACAAACAAATGACATAAATGTAATTGCAAATGGCTACATACAATACGTGTTTTTTGAGACATTCATGAACATCCTACGAAGACGAACGCATGATGAATATGTAACTTGTGCAAAACACAAAAAGTAATTTATTCATGTCCAGGGTGCGTATACTAACACTGCGAGATGCGTCTGTGTGGCTAGAAAATACCAATGTAGGTGTTCTATTAGAAGTTCCTACGCTCAAGGATTACAGTCTTAATTCTGCGCATGAGCTAAGACAGTGTAGTGACGGGAGTGAACTCGACCGACACGTCCAAAGTCTACAGAACTCAAGCGCAGAATTACAATTTTTGTACTAGCCTCCTACCGTAGTAAGACGGGTCGTGCAGAGATTGAGTGTTCATTTTGTATGGGACTTGAAAAGTGTTTAAATTATGTACTAAAATATAAAAAATAAAATTGTTGATATAAAAATAACATGAAAATTTCAGTAATGTGTTCAAAAATAGGCAATAAATGTTTCAGAATTATTGTGAAGTATAATAAGATAAGTGATGTGTTAAAAGTGTTTAATTTGTGCTTAGAATAACGAAACATTAATAAACATATATAAGAAAATTAAAGTTGAATTGATGTGTATTAGTGCTGCGTAAAGGTTTTAATTTCTGATTTAAACCATTGTATTATTTAAAATATTCATGTTTTTTGAGTGAGTTTCAGTGAGTCAACTCGGCGACTAGACAGAGCTACGATGGGGCGCAGTATGAAGGAGAGCGGAGTCCCCCCTCCCTCCGCGACGTCTACGGTAGTACCGGTCAGCTTCGCCTGCTGGTACCGGTAAGCCCGTTTAGAAGTGTCACCAAGCCTCTGTTACTCTTGCTACCTGCGTGAAAAAATAATTAAGTAATAATTTAACTACTGAATTAATACCTTAGTACTTCATTACAAATCTTAGTTGAAGTTAGTTCACTATCCAAGTACCTACGTACATAGTTATACTTGTCTTTTGTAATTAACATATTTTAGTTATAATAACACAAAATATTTAGATTAAAAAATAACCTACCTACCTACAACCTATCAAACGCACCAACGTCATGCAGACAGACCGACTCCATCCCATTTACATAAGTGATCTACAAAGCTACTGATACTAAATCAGTCATCCTAAAGATAATTTTGTCAATCCGTTATTGCATTTAGAAATATATCTTACTTATGCTATATTATATTTTATTATATTTTCTTTTCTTTTAAAAAATGTAAAAAGGTGATGTACCATGGTAGCCCAGGCGACAAGCCCGGCCGTAAATTTCACAGTACTTCTATCAACGCAGGCAACAATAAAATAATTAATTGCAATTTTAATTGCTGATTTTCTACCTAAAACCAAGAGAAACGTCATAAGGAAACCTATATATCTGAGGAATATGACATTTCAAAGGCATACGAATTTTGCCAGCACGCACTGGAGAAGTTCGGTGGAATGATTCCTTCATAACCCCATTGAAATGAGGGTAGTTCGAGCCTGTGTGAACGTATTAAGGCAGTAATATCTTAATCAAACGATTTAAGATAAATTAACAATTAAAATTTTTACAGGAAAAACTAAACCCCCGGTATGCTATCAAGATAGCAGCAATAGCCGCCCTCGTGATCAGAACTCTGTATCAAAAATTTCTAGAAGATTTCATGCGGAGTTCATAGAAGACTGGCCACAAAGATCGGGCTCACCTTACTTCGATCCAAGTACAGTAGATATATAATGTAACGGGATTAGAGGGTTATCCAGTCACTCTGCTGTGTAAAGTAAAAACTCTACAAAATCTCACTGTAATTATGGATACCGTTAACTTTCAGCACTTAATGGATTTTATTGTTTTATAATTCAGCCATTATGCTATGTCTTATGTTATTCACAATTAAAAATAATAATTTCATCGCATGTTATCATTAATAGTACATAACATTATTTTTAAAGATTTGATTTACGTTCTTTTGTTTTGTAGTTCAAGTTCTTACAAGAAAACACGAATGTTAAGAGAGCTTACAGGATATGTTTATAGCTAAATTCCTTTCAACGACGATAAGGTCACGGTGGAATATAACGACTCTTCTTGTTCAACCTTTGACTTTACGCATTACAACTTAAAGGGTATCTGAGAAACCATTTTTAAATATAGCGTATTTAGCTGTAATAACAGTTTGTTGATATTATAAGAAACATACTTATAAAAATAACCTTTTATCTGATTTTTAATTTAAATATAACAAGGTGTTGCGGATATAATTTAATAGGTGTGATAATTTATGTATGAGTGACAATAGGAGACGAGGAGCAGAAGTGCCGTAGTTTTGTCCTTTAAGAAAGGTGAATAATTCTGTTCTAGGTCGCGCCTTCTTGTAGTTTTGGAGTAATTTTGAATCGCCTCGTATACAAACTCAACAATCTCCCAAACGAATTTGTGCCCGAATAAACGTAGAAGTATTCGTACCATAGACCACACACATATCGTTTGGCAGATTATAGAGCTATTATATCTAGCGTTTATGGTACATGAGAAAGACTTCAATTTAGTTGAAATTAAGGCATTACTACAGTACCGTCAGCGGTGTCAGGTTAAATATCAGTTAATCAAAGTGTTTGTATACTAAGATTACGATGGTTATCCGATTACAGAAACAGAGACCAAAACCTACGGAATTCAATTACAAGTCAAACTCAGGTGTAAAGTAAAAAGGACAAGGTGACAATACATCCCAGAACATCTTCGGCGCTGTTTTAGTTTTCACGCTACTGGACCATTTTTGGCAGTCTATGCGAAGTGACTTTACATGATGGACAACGACGAAGCTTTTTTTGTGGTATATTATTTTAAAAGAAAACAAAAAACAAAGCCAAGAAATGATTTTTTTTTGTCTCAAAGGACACCTCTTTTCTGAACTAGTGTGATCAAATCTTCAGAATTTATATTATCTTTTCCATTTTTACGAAAAATTGGAGGGCTGACAAAATATTTCTTGTCGGCGCTGACAAAAAACGTTGTCGGATAAGCATGAACAGCTTTATGAAAATTGTTCTGCTACTAGAGCAGCGATAGTTAGATTATGACACAACACGCTAGGCAAGCGGGTTTACAACCGCAGTTTTTTTTATTTTCAGTCGTTATATGGAAGACACTGCTGCGCATCTCCTGATTTCTTTCCTTTTATCGCCTCTTATACCCATGGAATGATATGGGATAATTAAGATTTTTACACCGCCGCTACACTGTCTAGAAATCATTTTACATCAAACAATATTTTATGCGCGGTAAAGCTAAGCCAGTTATACCATAGTTTTAGCACGAATAGATCAATTCGATAGACATGCTAGCGTAAACTAACAGCTAAATTCTGCTGTGTTTCATATGTTGAGGATAAAGAACTGAAGGAAATTGTGTCAACGCATTTGCATTTTGATATAATATTTTTTCAATTTGATATAATGTGAACATTTACATCTATTCTTGTGTAAGAACAAGAATAGATGTAAATATTCAAAGCATCCACTTACCGTCAAGTCAACTGGAAGCTGGTTTGGCACTCTTAATTTAAAAAAAAATAATATCAGCAACAGTGGGGTAAATTGCGGCTGCGAAGCCGCGGCCCTTAGTATTATTTATAAAGTATTGGGACAAATTCAATACCCCTGAATTTAACAAACCGCATTCGGCTGCGTCTATTTATAGCCAGATAAACAGCTAAATAAAGCCGTATTTTGGCTTATAGCCGTAACATAATATACAAATTTACATATCGTAAAAATTACAAATTGTACAAAACTTCTAAAAAACTCTTTCGATTATATTTTATATGCAATAACTTTAAATTCAATCACAGTGGGTAAAATAATATGGTTCCAACGAGGATTGCAGTTTCGAAATTGAAATATCGTATAATATAATCACAAGCATCTGCTGCATGCTGTAATCTTGTAACTGTAAAATGATAGTGAAAGTTCTATTTCCACTCCTCTCTCAGAGTTTCTTGTTTCGTAGTTTTGTGATGTCCCTAATAACTTCATAGTTGTTTACATAATTGCACAGAGCATTCTGGCCCACTTCCTCAATATGCTGACAAATTTTACTTGTAAAAATATACATGCTGTTCTTATTTCTAAATCGTGGCTAAAGCCCTGTTTTCCCTCTACCTGTTACAATCTTCTTGGCTTCCAATAAGTACGAAACGATCGCTTGGTAGGTGGTGGTGGAGGTGTCGCCATTTATCTACGTTCATACATTCCTTTCACTTTTGTCGATGTACCTGCAAAACCACCGCCGCCTGATGCCGGTGAGTATCTTTTTATTGAAGTCACACTATCTCACTCTAAAGTTCTTCTTGGTATTTATTACTGCCATTCTATTCGTATTGACTTCTTCAACTCATTCCAAAATATCTTAGTTAAACGTACTCCCTTCTATTCACATACAATTATAATGTGTGACTTTAACACTTGCCTCCTTAAACAAGATGCTAGGGCTTCTTCTCTTCATTCAATCTTATGTTCTAGTAATCTCTCTATTTTACCGCTCAATGCCACGCATCATTTTCCAAACTTGACTCTTTCCAAACTTTGTCACGAAGCACGGTCAATATACGGCCGATGGATTTTCATTTTATGACCTAATCTTTCTATCTTATAAAACCCCATCTCCCAAATTTAAACCTTTTGAAATGAAATTTTACTGCAGCGTAATTTTGTTGGCATGGATTTTGCCGTGTAGTGACGGTTAAGAATATCCACTACCCCATATCTTCCCGTGGGTGTCGTAAAAGGCGACAAAGGGAAACAGGCAGGAGATGGGCAGCAGCATCTTCCTGGTAACGGCAAAAATACAATAAAAAACTGCGGTTGCCAACCCGCTCGCCAAGCGTGACAACTATGGCAATATACCCCCCATGATGAAAGTTACGAAGAGACGGCCCCCAGTCCCCGGCGGCCCCGCTATTCCTGGCTACGGTGGCGACCATGGTAACGGCGGGGCAGGGGGTGCTAAGAATCTCCGGTGGAGGTTCGGTTGCCACCTTAGACGACTCGACCTGGCAAGGTACAGCGCACGCACCCATAGGAATTACGAGAAGATCGTGGAGCTGGAAGAAGAGATAGACAAGTTTCGCTGGCATATTATAGGATTATCCGAAGTCCGAAGAGAGGGGGAGGACACAGTAATCCTCGAATCCGGCAACTTGCTCTGTTACCGGGAGGGCGACCATCTGTCCCAAGGAGGTATCGGATTTATCGTCCACAAGTCTCTCGTTAACAACGTTGTAAAGATTGGGAGTGTGTCGACGAGGGTTGCGTACCTTATACTCAGAATCACCAAACGGTATTCGCTGAAGGTCATACAGGTTTACGCACCAACCTCGGCACACCCCGATGAGGAGGTGGAGGAAATGTATGAGGATATCTCTAGAGCCATACATTCCTCCAAAACCCAATATACGGTGTTAATGGGAGACGTCAATGCAAAACTAGGCACAAGAGAGAATGGTGAGCTGAAAGTGGGGAAATTTGGAATAGGGCAACGGAACCCAAGGGCCCAGCAGCTGGCTGACTTCATGGAGAAAGAGGGACTCTTTATGATGAACTCTTTCTTCCAGAATCGGCCCCACAGGAATGGACCTGGTCGAGCCCCGATGGTTCGACAAAAATGAGATTGACTTCATTATGATGACCAGACGACAACTGTTCAGTGATGTCTCAGTGATCGCGAGGGTGAAAACCGGCAGCGATCACCGAATGGTTAGAGGCACACTGACCCTAAACGTTAAGTTGGAGAGGTCTCGTCTAATGAAGTCAACGCTCCGTCCCCCTCGTGTTCTAATCCAAAGTCCCGAAACCTTTCAGCTCGAGTTACAAAACCGTTTTCAGTGCCTAGAAGACTGCAATGAAGTCGACGATTTGAATGACAAGCTCGTGGAAACTGTCCATGTGATCGGAGCTAAGTTCTGCAAGACCCGCCGCAGAAGAACACAAAAACTCTCCGATCACACTCTTAATCTCATGGCTGTTAGACGGGAGATGAAGCTACATTCTTCAACAGATTTGACAGCATACAGGCAACTGAACAGACAGATCTCCAAATGCATGCGGCGGGACTTACGCAACTTCAATACAGCTCGTATTGAAGAAGCGATCGAGCGGAACCAAGGCTCCAAAGTCTTTGCCAGAGATCTGTCTGCCAGAAAGAGCCAACTGTCAAAGCTGAAGACCGAATGTGGCAGCATCATTTCCGGGGCACCTGAGATTTTGAGTGAGATTGAGAGGTTCTATGGGCAGCTGTACACGTCATCGTTGGAGCCGCACGCAAGTATGAGTAAAGATCCAAGAGCGAGTCTTATCCGACACTATTCCGATGATATCCCGGACGTCAGTCTGAGCGAGATTAGAATGGCTCTCCAGCACCTTAAAAACGGCAAGGCCCCAGGCGAGGATGGAATTACAGCGGAGCTTCTGAAAGCGGGTGGAAAACCGGTACTTGAATTCCTTCAGAAGCTCTTTAATTCCGTCCTCCACGGTGGCATTACACCAGAGGCGTGGAGCAGAAGTGCGGTGGTCTTGTTATTCAAGAACGGCCACAACGCTCTCTTGAAGAACTACAGACTGATTTCCCTTCTGAGCCGCGTATACATGCTGTTTTCGAGAGTCATTACGAATCGTCTCGCGCGCAGATTTGACGACTTCCAGCCTCCCGAACAAGCCGGTTTCCGAAAAGGCTTTAGCACCATAGACCACAGACATACCCTTCGGCAAATTGTACAGAATTCCGAGGAGTACAATTTGCCACTATGTCTGGCGTATGTGGACTATGAGAAAGCCTTTGATTCCGTCGAAATTTGGGCGGTGCTGCAGTCCCTTCAGCGGTGCCAAGTTGACTGTCGGTATATCGAAATGTTGAAGTGCTTTTACAGTAGGGCTACGATGGCTATCCGAGTACAGAACCAGAGTACGAAACCTATCCAATTGCAGAGAGGTGTAAGACAGGGTGACGTCATATCCCCGAAACTCTTCACCGCTGCATTGGAAGACGTTTTCAAGCTTCTGGACTGGAAAGGATACGGTATCAATATCAATGGCGAGTACATCCTTCACCTTCGATTTGCCGACGATATAGTCCTTATGGCAGAATCGCTGGAGGACCTAAGCACTATGCTCAATGACCTCAATAGTGTTTCCCAACGGATAGGTCTTAAGATGAACATGGACAAAACAAAGGTCATGTTTAATGTCCATGTCACACCTATGCCGGTAGTTGTTGGGAACACTAAGCTCGAAGTTATTGACGAGTATGTTTACCTGGGACAAATAGTCCGACTAGGTAAATCCAACTTCGACCGAGAGGTCAATCGACGGATTCAACTCGGTTGGGCAGCGTTCGGGAAATTACGGCACATCTTCTCGCCAGGTATACCTCAAACCTTGAAAACGAGACTGTACACCCAGTGCGTGTTGCTAGTGATGACTTACGGATCTGAGACGTGGTCCTTCACTGCTGGCCGGATGAGGAAGCTCAAATCGCTCAGCGAGCTATGGAGAGGGCTATGCTCGGTGTTTCTCTGCGTGATAAACTTAGAAATGAGTATATCCGCAGTAGAACCAGAGTAACCGACATAGCCCAACGGATTAGTAAGCTGAAGTGGCAATGGGCTGGCCATATAGCTCGAAGAACCGACAACCGATGGGGAAGGA